TTAACCCCCCCCCCCCAAAAAAAAAAAAAAGCATGCACACACACAAAGGCAACAACAGCCAAAAAAACCCAACTGTCGACCTGGTTTCTTTGGGAAATTTGCAATCTTGTGCAAAATTGTTTCACAGATTGAATTGTGAGTTCACCATTAACTCAGAATAGAATGAGTAATTTGATATGCACATTAAATGTAAAAGAACAACATTCACAGCTGTGATGATTTTTTTCCCTTCTTATCATCATCGCTGCTGCACTGTCATTTATTGATTATGTTACTTAAGGATTTATGATTATTTAGGTTTTGGTTTGTAAACTTGGCTATTCTGAATATTGTCATAGTTACTCTCCTGTAGAGTGCCTATCCTACTTCTATATGAACCTAAATTTATATACCTAGCTATATTAGTTGTAGGAATGAGGTGTGGTCACCCATTTCTAGCGGCTTTGAACAGATATCTACCTTTATTCCTGGTATTCACAAGTAAATAAACAGGCAATTGGTTCTCTGTAGAAAACATTGTAAGTTATTGCTTGAGTTAGACAGGCTTAACTTCGTAGGAAGAACTCAATTCTGCAGTGTGTTGTTCTTGCTGACTGTACCAAGGATGTTGCTTTGTAACTAATCTCAGGGTAAAAGTAAATTTATATGAATTCTAGCATATTTAACATCTTTATATCACATATATTGACTTTAGGTGGGTACACACCTTGTTATTTCATTGATTCGTAAGCCTTTTTCTTTCAATTTACAGCTGCTTTCTGCATCTCTCATTGCTTGAAAGCTTCACAGAATGGACACAATTTGTTGTTGTTTACTCATAGCCATAGGTTCATTCAGTGTAGATGATTTCTTTGAGAACCAGGGATTTTGTGTATCAGCGATGGTAGCAATGTGCTGTATTTCGTTGGCATTATATTTGATCTGTAATCAATTTCATGTGAAACGTTTCTTTGAGAATTTCTATAAGCTTGCATGGTTCTCAGCTTGTAGATTGTATAAATAACGTGCTTTATTTTTATTCTGCTAGTGTTGATTTTTTTATATGAAATTAGTGGATGATATATGATTGTATAAATAATGTACTTAATTCAGTTAGTCTTTAAGCTATATATTATATGGGTATACTGAACGATATGATTGCTGAGTTGCAAGCATGATGAGTGGATGGTCTGTATTTCATCATGCACTCAGAAATTAGAAGGTAGCTTACTTGAACATGATATTAGCTAATGGTAAAAGATAATGAGTCCATTATTGTGACATGATTTGTTAGCAAGCTTACATCTTACACGAAACTGTGAGCACGGGTCCTAATTCTGAATATATATATATATATATATATATAAAATTTGGTGGCAGTG